ATTTAGATATATCTATCTATATATATATATATCATAAATCATTTTAAAGGAATGTATATTCCCTGTACACAAGCTCTGGTAAATTAAGTGAATGATTCATTTCTAGAAAGCAGATAATGACTCTCAGATTCAGGACATTTGAAGGGAGAGAAGTTTTCGAAGGTCTTTACTTTCCCTGCGTTGTGTTCTGTACGGTGAGTCGTAGTGAATCGGTGAAGTGTGGAGAGTAAATCAGTAAAAAGCCACATGAGACAATCAGATGGTGAGAAGAGGCGAGCCACTTGCTGTGTTGCCGGGAAATTCTTGTCTGTCACATCACACATCTGAAAATAAGAGTTAATCATATTATTTTCATGTCATCAATGTCATTAATGGAAAGCACTATGACATCATCATCAGCAGTCTGTATTCTTTCTATTAGTTTTACATCGTGTGGCAAGTGCAACCCCTTCTCATCTCCTCCTCTCCATAATCCCTCCTTATCTCCTCCCCCTCCTCATATTCATCATAACCCCTTCTGATGTCCACAACTCCTCCTCATCGCCCTAACCCCATCTTCATCTCCACAGCCCTTCCTCCTCTCCACATCTCCTCTTCATCTCCACAATCCCTCCTCATCGCCATAACCCCTCCTCATGTCCACAACCCTTCCTCCTCGCCATAACCCCTCATCTCCACAATCCCTCCTCATCGCCATAACCCCTCCTCATCTCCACAACCCTTCCTCCTCGCCATAATCCCTCATCTCCACAATCCCTCCTCATCACCATAACCCCTCCTCATCTCCATAACCCCCTCCTCCTCTCCATAACCCCCTCCTCATCTCCATAACCCCCTCCTCATCTCCATAACCCCTCCTCATCTCCATAACCCCCACCTAATCTCCATAACCTTTCTTCTTTATCTCCACAATCCCTCCTCATCTCCATAACCCCTTCCATCTCCACAACCTTTCCTCACCTCCATAACCCCTCTTCTTTATCTCCACAATCCTCCCTCATCTCCACAATCCCTCCTCATCTCCATAACCTTTCCTCACCTCCATAACCCCTTTTCTTTATCTCCACAATCCTCCCTCATCTCCACAACCCCTCTTCATCTCCATAACCCCGTCCTCATCTCCTCCTCCTCATCTCCATAACCCCTCTTTATCTCCACAATCCTTCCTCATCTCCACAACCACTCCTCATCTCCTCCTCATCTCCATAACCCCTCTTTGGGAAGTCATCAGCTCACAAGGTTCCTGGCAGAATGAACAGGCACATCTTGACACTTCTAGAACAGAGACAACAAAACCCTTCCAACGGTTAATTTAACAAACTTAAAGGAGGCCAATAGCTCAGGTTCATAGTTGGGGTTTACATAGACTTTATGTTAGCGATTGACCCCAATAAACTGAAGAAGTCCAAGTACAAAGAGTATAACACCCACCAGATCTTCTAGACTGTAAGCCCTCAGGGACAGGGCCCTCCTTACCATCTTGTCTTGAATTGTCTTGTGACTGTAATGTCTTCCTTATATTGTAAAGCGCAGCGCAAACTATTGGCGCTCTATAAATCCTGTATAATAATAATAATAATGGTAATAGTAATAATAACAAGCAGTACTGTTACTACACTCAGCGCTTTACATTTAAAGGAGAACTATGGGGTCAGTGTTTTTCCCCATAGTTCTCCTTAGGGTAACGGGAGGACAAAAACTAGCGCCCTCCCGTCACCCTAAGCTCAGTATACCGCGAGCTACGGCTCCCTATATACTGAGACGCCGCACCTGGAGCGGATCCCGACGTAGATGACGGGATCTGCCCAGCTGCGTGAGTGGCAGCTGGCTCTGCCTACCTAGAGGCAGAGCCAGCTGTACCCGCCCCCTCCCCCGTCCGTTCCGCCAGTCAGCGCTGGAGGATCGGAGCGGGGAGGGGGGAATCCAGCCCCTCCCCCTGTCACGGCAGAGAGCCGTGACAGGATCGAGAGGTGAGGGAACCCGGTATGTGTTCGCTCACCTCCCGATCTACTGAGCCGACCTGTGACAGTCTCATTGTCACAGGTCGGCTTAGAACTATGAGGTGAGTGAAAAGCCCCTCCCCCTCATAGTTCTCCTTTAACTCCAGACATTTGTATTTTATCATTCTGGATAGAGCGGGAAGGGTTAAAATATCTGCCCTATGTTTCTCGGACTCCAGGAACAATGGTGATCGGTGATATGGAATTGCCCATCAATACAATTCAATGCCATAAGGCGCAATGGCCCTGGGGAGGCTGTTCTGGTCAAACAGAGTTCCCCAAGCTGGGGTCCCTAGAGCAAAAAGAAGTTACCGCAAGAGAGTCGGACCAAAATGAATCCGAGGAAACTTTAATTGTTCATCAAACAATGGAAAACAACAACCAAATACAAACAAAAATATATAAATATATCCTAAAAAAAAACATATTATATATTTTTTTTAAAATAAAAAATTTGTCCCCAATGAAGGTGGAATGTTTGGACCACCGAAACGCGTTGGCTGTTGTTCACATTTGTATGTTTATTATATTTATTGGTTTATTTCAGGGGTCAGGCATGGGGGATTCATTGATTGTTTTATTTTATACTAAGCCTTACAGTGTTTATTATACCCTTTGTCTTTGGCTGGGTGAAATTCTAGGGGTATTTTTACGTGAATTAACACAGAGACAATTTTCAATCATTCGGTGGACAATTAAAGTTTTTTGGACTCATTTTGGTCTGGCACTCGTCAAGGGGCATCCGGAGGCCGGGTGACACCCAGAACGGAGAAGGGGGTGACACCCCGCCTTGACGTCATCGTGCATGCGCGGTCATCTTATTGATGCCTGCCGGCAGAGAGAGAGGAGGGGGCGTTCACCCGGTGGGATGAGTTATGCCTCCTCTCTCCTGACACTGTTGGGCTCTCGGGACCATGACCGAGTGTCTGACTTTTTATAGGGGGTGACACCAAAATGACTGTCAGTCATTTTGGTGTCACCCATCCAATGGTGGCCACCCGGGTGTGGGCCGAATCCCCTGCACCACCTGTGACGCCACTGGCACTCGTTTTACTTTAGGCTGATGAATCCCATCATATGTCTTCTGCTTCAGTGTTACATTCACTCGGCATCCACCGAAATGTGACATTCACTCAGCCTCCACAGAAATGTGACATTCATTCAGCCTCCACAGAAATGTGACATTCACTCAGCCTCCACAGAAGTGTGACATTCACTCAGCATCCACAGAAGTGTGACATTCACTCAGCATCCACAGAAGTGTGACATTCACTCAGCCTCCAGATAAATGATACATTCACATGATAGCCAGGGAAATGATACATTCACTCAGCCTCCAGAGAAATGTGACATTCACTCAGCCTCCACAGAAGTGTGACATTCACTCAGCATCCACAGAAGTGTGACATTCACTCAGCATCCACAGAAGTGTGACATTCACTCAGCCTCCAGATAAATGATACATTCACATGATAGCCAGGGAAATGATACATTCACTCAGCCTCCAGAGAAATGTGACATTCACTCAGCCTCCACAGAAGTGTGACATTCACTCAGCCTCCAGAGAAATGTGACATTCACTCAGCCTCCAGAGAAATGTGACATTCACTCAGCCTCCAGAGAAATTATACATTCACATGGAATCCAGGGAAATGTGACATTCACAGGATACACAGAAAAATGTGACATTCACTCAGCATCCAGGGAAATTATACATTCACATGACAGCCAGGGAAATGATACATTCACATGGAATCCAGGGAAATGTTACATTCACTCAGCCTCCAGAGAAATGTGACATTCACTCAGCCTCCACAGAAGTGTGACATTCACTCAGCCTCCAGAGAAATGATACATTCACTCAGCCTCCACAGAAGTGTGACATTCACTCAGCCTCCAGAGAAATGATACATTCACTCAGCCTCCAGAGAAATGTGACATTCACTCAGCCTCCAGAGAAATTATACATTCACACAGCTGGTGAACGGCACATTTTTCATCGCTCGCTCCGTCTTTCGTGTTTCCATATTCGGTCTCTTGGTTACTTTCCCTTGTGTCTTCCTCGTCTCTTATCTATTCATCTCCCTCTACGGCTCCTTCCGACTCTTCCTCCAGTGGGCGGGGCCGGCGTAGTTCCTCTTTAATAGACGCAGAACGAGCAGTAATGAGGCATTGACAGCCGAGAGAGAGCGAGGAGTCAGACACACACAGGCTGGACCCCTACAGGCAACACCCGCCGGGCAACGAGGGCATGAGTTCCCCTCCACCTGCCTCTAGAGGTAAGTCCCCCCACACCGGCCGGCCAATGAAATCATCAGCTTGCTACATTGTATCCTGGACTGACCTCAATTTTGTGCCCCCCGGGGAGGCTTCTGTCACTCCTCTACAATGTGGTCTGTAGATGTCACTGGCTGCCGGGGATCCTGAGGACTGTTGTGTCTACAGTTCACCCATGACAGCAAAGGGTAAAC